GCATACTTGTGGTTGGTGAGAATATGGAATAGGTTGGAGGGATATGAGTGTGGGCAGCAGGTGAGGAAAATCGGGGCTTTGAATGCCCCAGATTTTTTGGGATTAGGCTTGATTTGTTGATATTTTTTTTATTTTTTTGATATGATTTCGAAACAGGGGTGATTTGGATAAAATGGCGGCGGCGCGACATCAACGGCGGCTAGAGAAGCTGAACAAGTGCTCTAGCGGCGGCGGCCATAGCTATCCTTCTTGATTGCGGCTGCGGCGACGACAGCAGGTGACTAACCCTAAGTTTGGTTTAGCCAATGTGTTAACATGATGGGCCATTAGGGTTTTGTAATTTGGACCTGTTGTTAGGCTTGTTGTTAGGCTTCTCTTGGTTGGGCCATTGGGTCACTTGTAATTTGTAAAATAAAATAAAATAATAAATAATAATAATAATAATTCTAAAATGGTCATAGAGATTGGCGTAAGATTTCATATTAAGAAGTAAAAATAAATTATGAGTAAAAAATAAAACTACTCAATATATATATATATATATATGAATTTAAAATTTTTAAAAGTACTAGTACTGTTCTCTCTTCTTCCCATGCATCCCTCGACCTAATTCTTTAATAAACTAATAACTTGAGGCAAAGTTATATTAGGTTTTAAGTAATGAAGTTAGAAGTTTCACATTGATCGTGACGCGTAGAGGTGAAAAAAAAATTTGAATATCTGATTTTACGTAAAAAAAAAATTATCCGAAATTGGATTTAGAAAAAATTGGTTTTTTTAAAAATCGGATCGAATATTTTAAAATCGGATAGTATAATCTGTTTGTAAAAAAATTGGACGATCGGATTTTTTACCGGATTAAAAATCGGTTTGAAAAAAATCCTGATTTGTGGTTTAAAAAATTGGATGGCCGGATTTTTATAGGATTAAAAATCAGTTATTTTAAAAAATCGGATTTTTTCAAACCGAAATCGATTACACCGGTTACATCATCCGGCCCTCCAAATCGGTTATGATCCGAACTGATTTTTTTATAAATCGATTTTTTGGCTTGGTGAAAAAATCAGATCAATTTTTATCCGATCCGGATCGAATTTAAATCCGGCTGTACATCTCTAGTGACACGTATCAGTTTTTCTTTTCATTGTTAAGATCATTTAAATTATGCATGTTGATGTAGCACGTTTATTTCATCGTATCTTGCATTAGATTGAGAGCAAAGATGATAACGGGTTGGGTTAGGTTACATCCGAAAAATATATATATCCTTAACATTTTCTCTATCTAAATCTGATTCAATTTGAATTTTTGAAGTATAAATCTGATTTGATCTGGATCAATATAACATAGGGACCTATTTAAAAATATAGAGAAATGAGTTACTATAATAATTATCCCAATTTTAGATGTTCTAATATCATTCTAAAAATGATTGATATCAAATCTTATATTTTTACAAAAAAAAATCAAAAAAACCGTCAAATCCAACCCTAAATATCATTATAGTAATAATCTAAATTCAAAATAATTCGAGTAAAATTCTATCCAAATGATTTCTATTGATACCGAAATAATATGACATACATGGTGTTAATACCTACCATCAACATGAAAAACGTCAAAAGCCACAGGCTAGTAATAATAATCTGTTTGGCCCTTCATAATTATTATCTCCCAAAATAAGGATTAATACAATATATAAAACCAATGAAGACTTTAGTGATGAAGTTTGGCACACAAATATATATATATATATATATATATATATATATATATATATATATATATATATATATATATATGGAGAGAGGACAGTAGAAAAGAAAGTAAGTGGTGCTTTGCCAAACAGGTGTGAAGGGCAATTGAAATGGATAACTAACTGCTGCCTGCTTTTTTCTGATTTGACTTGTTTTGCTTCTACAACCCCACCCTTTGCTTTCTCATAAAGAAGCTCCAATATTATGCATGCCTTCATTTGTCCTTACTTCACCTTAAAGATAATTTTATTTTTAAACACTATAAAAAGAAAAATTAATTCCAATATATATATATATATATATATATTATAATTTTATCTAAATTCACTTAAACCCACATTTTTAAGACTAGCATATTGAAATCATGATCGAATTAAGATTTATTGTTGATGGGAACAATTTAATTTTATCGATCATTGTCGATTCATTCCTTCTGATTTGAACGGAAAAACACGATCAATCGAAAGTCACCCGTTAACTGATGGACTTTTGTATGAAGAATGGTGGAAAGATCGTTAATGGAGCTAAAGGAGAAGGAAAAAGTCAATAGTGGTTTTGTATAATGATGTCTGGTATACGGGTTATTATGTCTACTTGTAGGTTAGCATGTTAACAGATCTGATCTTCAAATCTTGAATTTTATCCCAGTTGATTGAACTACATGTCAAAAGTCTCATCTAGAGGTTTTGTTTATATATTGTATTGATTTGATATTTTATGCCTATTGAAAAAAATTTAGTAAATGAGGATGTTTATTTGAAGTTTTTAAAAAATTAAACAATGATAGTCTTCCGAGATATAACACTTACCAATATGAAGTGTTATATATATGTATTTATATATTTATAATAATTATCGATACATAACATAAAAAATAAGATTAAAATAACACTAAAAATAATTAATTGATGTATGAAAAAAAATAATCGAAATACAAATTAAATTCTTTAAGTCCAATATTATGATTTCAGGAATAAAATAAAAAGCTCACGCAGTATTGATTATCACATGACCAATTAAGGGACAACCTTTGACAATAATGAAGTGGAAACATTGCTTATTACGAACAATTAACCGACAAGGTTTTGGAAAAATATATATTAAAAAACAAAAGGTTGAAAATAGCCTTAATATTTTACACGAGTTGTTACTTGTTATATATATATATAAGCCTTAATTGAGTGAAAAAACGTAATCGGTCGTTAATATAGTGTGTAAACTCTGAGTATAGATCATAATTTGGATTGGTTTATTCGGTCAACTTCCTTTTTATCTCGATATATAAGTAGTTGTCTTTTTATTTTGAGTTTGGATAGTGGGAAAATAATGAGCAAAAGTACAACAATTGTATGCTCAATTTCTTCAGCTTGTATTGAGTTGCTTTTTCGAGATATATTTAATAATATCAGTTCATTATTATTTTATACATTGTGGGGACTGTCTTTTTTTTTCCTGAGCTCATTCCACATCAGTTGAACTTCAACTCCTGTCCTAAGGAATTGGTTTGGGGAGGTTGGTTGCTTTATATTGTTTGTTTATTTATTTATTTTTACTTACAAAGAACAGAATTAAAACGAAATTATAATAGCTTCACGAGCGATGAGATCGATAAGTGAATTCTTACGTACTAATTATATTCTCTTAATTTAACAAACGTATTTGTAATTTGATTCTGTTCACGAGATATATGATAAAAAATTATCATTTAATTGTTATAAATCAAAAGACGAATCGAAACCATGAGAATATGATCTCGCATAGAGGCTGAAGTATCTTAAACTACTTAAGTTTCTTTCCCGTATCATTTCAAGTTGAGTCAAATTCAGAGTGAATTAACTAGTATTTTATTCAAAGTAAAATTGAGTTAAAAATATATTGAATCAGTATTATGACAAGTGAAAATCCAACTCGTCTCATATCGTTCTGATATTTACATCTAATCTAATAATATAACATCTTAATTTCAAATATGGAATTAAAAATTAAAATCAAATAACATTTAACAACATAAAACTAATTTAATCATTATATATTCCAATCCATCCCCCTTCATTAAAAATATTCTATATTTCTTTAAAATAGAATTCTATAATATTTACAACTTTTTACCTAATCAATAAAATCAAATAAAATAAAAATCCAACTAATTTAGTCAATTAAAAAATATTTGAACAGAAAATCCAAGTCGATAAACTCTCAAACCCAATTTCCAGAGTGCCACGTGTGTGACAGCGGATGCATGATATAAGCATGATGCAGGATGATGGTATATAAATCTCTCTCTCTTTCACCTCGCATTCCCATACATCTTATTAGCGAATAACAAATAGCGTTACTTGGAAGTAGGCGAAGCGTTCCCGTTAACTGCCGCCTATAGCCTCTCCTAGTTGAGTTCCCACAGAGTGGAGCGAAGAGGAGTGAAGTGAGAACCCAAAAAAGGGTAAAGAACACAAATGGTCCCCAACTATAAGGTAGCATTTTGTTGAATCATTTAATTATTAAAAATTATAAAATTATCTCTTGATTATATGATGTTATTTCTTTGAGTCCCATTACTATTAAAAGTTATAAAATGATCATTTCATTATTCGTATGTTTCAAACTCGTCTTTTTTTCATTAAAAAATTGGTGATTGTTTGAGCTGAATATTAACATATAAAATGAAATATGATAAAATCAAATCACATAACCGGTTGAGTTGTATTTTTTGGATTGACTTTCTGTTTTTATTATGTCGTCAAGTCAATGCTAGAAATATTATGTCATCGAGTCAGTTCTTGAAAGCAACAAAAATGCCAGTAGACATCATTAAAATGTGATTTTATCATATCTCAATCAATAAATAAATATCAAGCTCAGACAACCGTCTATTTTTAATGTAAACTGATGAGCTTAGAACATATGAATAGTCGATTGGTAATTTTGTAACTTTTAATAGTCAGAAAACTCAACAAAATATCATCATATAATCGGTGGATCATTTTATAACTTTTAATAATCAGAAAACTCAACAATGCAATGTACTATAATCATGAGAGAGGTTTGTATACTTTTCCCCAAAAAAATCATCGTTTTCCCTTTCGTCTTTTTGCCATTTAACCCCCACCTTCTTTCTCACGTCAATACAATATATATACACACACACATACATCTCTCTCCCACTCACTCATTATAAATATCAGCTCAGTACAGACCCTTATTCTTCACTATTCTTCTTCTTCTTTGTTTTCCTTTTGGAGATATATGGGTGAAAATAGCAATGTTAAGCTTCCCCCTGGGTTCAGATTTGATCCTACGGATGAAGAGCTGGTGGTTCACTTCCTTCAACGTAAGGCCGCCCTCTTGCATTGCCACCCTGATGTCATCCCTGATCTTGAACTCTATCCCCATGATCCCTGGGAACTCGATGGTATTTACTTTATAAGCATCAACTGAATTTTTTTAACTGTTTTCGCTTTTTTAGATGCTTAAAGTTGCAATGTTTTTGATAGGCAAAGCTCTGTGTGAGGACAACCAGTGGTACTTTTACAGTAGGAGGATGCAAATCAGGTGTACGAGCAATGGGTATTGGGAGCGAATGGGAATAGATGAGCCTGTTGTTAATAGCATCAACAAAAGAGTTGGCATGAAAAGGTATTTGGTTTTCTACATCGGAGAAGGTCCGGCTGCCATCAAAACCAGTTGGATAACGCAAGAATATCGTCTCTCCGGTTCTGATTCCGGCACCGCCAAATCATCCAAAAGCAGTGGACATTCCAAAATAGTCAGTATAATTGCATACGATGGTTAGTTTGAGTTTTTGGTTGACATTATCTTCGTTATTGACTGGTTTTGTTGATTTTCGGTGACATTTTAGGATTATAGCAAATGGGTTGTCTGCCGAGTTTATGAAAAAAATTGTAGTGAAGAAGACGATGATGGAACAGAACTGTCGTGCTTGGATGAAGTGTTTCTATCGTTGGATGATATGGATGAAATTAGTTTGCCATTAAACTAGCTATGACGGGGGAGCATAATATTTCTCAAGATCATAGCTACTAGCTAGGGTTAATTCCATTTTCCATTATAAATGCTTTATCCAAATGTAGAATGTTGGCATTAATGTGTTCCTAGGGGAATGATAATATCGTCGCCTAGTATTAATTCTATAGACTTATATTATGCTCCTTGATCCTTGATATATATATATATATATATATATATATATAGGGTAAACTGCATGTTTAGTATTTCAACTATCACTTTTATTCCGTTTTGGTTATTCAACTATTTTTTGTTTCAAAATCATACTTAACATTATGTTTTGGTTTCATTTTGGTCATCCATCGTTAAAAATTAATGAAAATGTTGATGTGTCACAATAAGATAATGTCACATCATCATTGAAATAAATTTTAAAAATGCCATGTCAGCAGTTATGTTAATTTTTTGAATGGTGTGTGACCAAAATGAAATCAAAACATAATATTAGATATGATTTTGAAACAAAAAATAATTAAATGATCAAAACAGAATAAAAGTAATAGTTAAGATATTAAACGTGTAATTTACCCATATATATATATATATATATATGGATTTCCCTGCTTGTATAATTAATGTTTTCTGAAACATTCAAACATTCTGCAAGGACCACAGACACCAATTATTTTGGACAAAAAAGGAATTAAGATACTTAAATGTACGTTTTCCAAAATGTAATTGTACGTATAAAATAGGGTAAAGCCTGGGTTTGTAATAATATGAGTATGTGTTTTGGTCACGTGCAAAAGTGGAGCCCAAACAGCACTGCTGAGGCTTGGTAGGGCAAGAAACAATATATATATATATTTGGGACAGTGTAGCCTTTTAATAGCTTTGTCCAACTTTGATGGCTGTTTGGTAGTTGTTTTGTGTCGCAATGCTAAGGAACAAAAATTTTCTTGGGTGCCCACTTAGACAAGCATTCAGTCATAAATGATGCAATCACTCCCACGCTTTCCAATTTTCCCACACGTATTGTTAAATACATACGTATATATAATTAATATTATTTTTTGTTTAATAAGTGATAAATATAAGGCTGTTTAAAAATAATTCTCAACTTGTTGATATTGAATATTCACACCCGTGACACCTATGGTGCTCAAACCCAGTTTTTCAAGGAATAACAATAATTATTTTACCATAGAGGCCACTTGATTCGTACATAATTAAGATTATTAAATAAACAAAAATAAAGATTATTTTTTATAAATACCTTTTAATTTTTAATTTTTAATTTTTATTTTCATTCATTTGACAATTTTAAGAAAATGTATAAAAATTAAAATATAATAAGAGATTATTTTAGCCACAAACAAATGACCTTTATAGTATTCCTAATCCTATGAGCCATGAACATATAACATTAGTAGGACTGTGGTGAGAAATTATGGAAATCAAAATTCAATCAAGATTATAGTATTTGAACGATATATAATTTATAAGTGAAAAAGTTCTGGTTATTCGAATCTAAAATATTAAATTTTTTATTTAATATATAATTATTTTTATAATATAAAAGAAAATATTTTATATTTAAAATAGTATATAATAATATACAATTATTAATTATTTTTTGGCAAAATAAGGGGAGGACCTTAAATCTCACGACTTAACATGCCAAGAGTTTCCAAGTCCATTTATATCATTCTCAAGCAGCTTGATAATTGGCGAGGGAGGATTAGAGTATTTAGGGTATCAAACAATCAACTTGCAGCCCATGATGTTATCACACCCCAAAAATTAGGTTAGTTCAATCGAGTTAGTATCAGTTGGTCCGTTCAAATTTTACAATTTTCTAGATAATTTTTTAAGTTAAAATGGATTCCATTGTAACACCCCAAAAATTTTGGTTAATGACCAAAATGTAAATCATAAAAATTTAGTTGTCAAAGTATAAAGTTTGAAAAGTTTAGGGACCAAAAGGATAATTTTCAAAAGTTTATAGAGAAATGTGTAGTTTTCAAAAGTTATGTATTTTTTGCCCTTAATGAATAGTTCACACCCAAAAATGACGTTTTGGTGGGAATCATATTTTTTATCTGAAACTTGTGTTAAAAGCTATAAAATGTTAAAGTACGGTAAAAATTCGTTAAATCGGATCAAATATAAATTTAGAGAAATTTTGAAGGATGATAAATTAAGCTTAGAAATATTATTTCCACATTTTAAAATGATGGAAAATAATATGGAGCATTAGATTTGAGAATAAATTTCCATATTCATTTTGGACCGTTGAATGAAAAAAGCAAGATTGAAATTTTTGAAAAGTTGCATGGATAAAGTTGTCAAGGGAATAATATTTTGTTCATTTTTTTTTTACTTTGGGAGATGATAACTAACATGTGGCTTGGTATGGATGTAATTATCAAGTTTCATTACTGGTAAAACTGTCATTTCTCATTAAATGAATTTTAAATTCATTTAAGCTTAATAAATGAAAAATTAACATGAAATTAACTATATATTTCATGAAAATAAGGCCTTCTTCAACCTCCATTTCGTGCTCCCCATAACCTAGGTAAGAGAAATTTTGTTTTTCATTTTTTAGCAATTTCTTTTGGATTTTGGATCAAACCATGAAATAGAAAATTGTTCTATTCGAAGAGTTCTTTCATTTGGTACCATTATTGCATGCTAATCTTGCTTGAGTGCTAAGATCCCAAATTTTAGGGTTTATGTTCATGTTAGGGTTTTATGAATTGATGATGGATTTTGAGGTTATTGAGGTTGTAGAATCATTTACAAGATTGTTTGATGATCAAAACCACCTAAAAAGATTATTATGATTTTTGGCCTAAACCCTAAATTAAGGGAAGTTTATGATTTGATGAAATTGAGTTAGGGTTTGATTGTATAGTTTTAAAATATTGCATAGAGGGTGATTTAATGCTAGAATCAATTGAAATCAAGTGAAAATCATGGAACCCTAATCTTTAGACTTTCGGATATGGTTTTAAAAGGTGAGAAAAAATATGGAAATATTATGTAAGGGTTGGAAATGATGTAGGAATGATTATACAAGCTTTGAAACATTGTTTGGTTCAATTTGTAATATTGTGAAAGTTGGTGGACCTATTTAGTAATTATGGAAAATTATGAGATCAATATGTAATTGTTTAATAGTTGTTGTATTATGTTGGAAATTAATGTTAGATTGTTGAAACTGATGTTAGAATGTGAAATTGGATTATTTTGGAAAGTTGGTCAAAGTTGTGGTTCAAATCACAAATATGGAAAAGTTGGGAACTTAAGTGAAAATATTATGTGAATTTTGGATAAATATGAATAAAAAGGAACTTAAATGGTCAATTTGAAGTGTTAAGGTCAACATTTATGTTGTGACTTGAAATTTGTATCGAATTAGCATCGAAAGATTTTTAGGAATTTAATTTCTAATGTATGCCTATATCATTAAGATTCTAACATATTTAATTTCTAATGTTTGCCTATGTTAGTAAGGTTTTTAGTAATTTAATTTCTAATGTTTTCCTATTTTTAATTTGTACTTTCATTTTTTAGCAATTTCTTTTGGATTTTGGATCAAACCATGAAATAGAAAATTGTTCTATTCGAAGAGCTCTTTCATTTGGTACTATTATTGCATGCTAATCTTGCTTGAGTGCTAAGATCCCAAATTTTAGGGTTTATGTTCATGTTAGGGTTTTATGAATTGATGATGGATTTTGAGGTTATTGAGGTTGTAGAATCATTTACAAGATTGTTTGATGATCAAAACCACCTAAAAAGGTTATTATGATTTTTGGCCTAAACCCTAAATTAAGGGAAGTTTATGATTTGATGAAATTGAGTTAGGGTTTGATTGTATAGTTTTAAAATATTGCATAGAGGGTGATTTAATGCTAGAATCAATTGAAATCAAGTGAAAATCATGGAACCCTAATCTTTAGACTTTCAGATATGGTTTTAAAAGGTGAGAAAAAATATGGAAATATTATGTAAGGGTTGGAAATGATGTAGGAATGATTATACAAGCTTTGAAACATTGTTTGGTTCAATTTGTAATATTGTGAAAGTTGGTGGACCTATTTAGTAATTATGGAAAATTATGAGATCAATATGTAATTGTTTAATAGTTGTTGTATTATGTTGGAAATTAATGTTAGATTGTTGAAACTGATGTTAGAATGTGAAATTGGATTATTTTGGAAAATTGGTCAAAGTTGTGGTTCAAATCACAAATATGGAAAAGTTGGGAACTTAAGTGAAAATATTATGTGAATTTTGGATAAATATGAATAAAAAGGAACTTAAATGGTCAATTTGAAGTGTTAAGGTCAACATTTATGTTGTGACATGAAATTTGTATCGAATGAGCATCGAAATATTTTTAGGAATTTAATTTCTAATGTATGCCTATATCATTAAGATTCTAACATATTTAATTTCTAATGTTTGCCTATGTTAGTAAGGTTTTTAGTAATTTAATTTCTAATGTTTGCCTATTTTTAATTTGTATTTGTGTTATTGAACAAACATTGGTTTTCGATAGGGGTGTGCAAAATTACTCGACCCGGTTGACCCGACCCGCCTACCCGCCGACCCGGATCTAAAAAAACCGGGTAATTCTCTAAAAAAATTTACCCAGCCGGGTCGGGTGCCCGACCCGACATTTCTCGGGTCGGGCCCGGGTCATAAAATCTAGTTTTTTCGGGTACCCGGTTACCCGAGTACCCGGTTAGTTTTTATTTTTTTATTTTTTTATATATAATTATATAAAATATAATGAATTATTTATATTGTGGATTATTATATTTTGTATTTCGAACTTTTAAATTTTATGTTCGGATATTAGAGTATGTAATTCGAAGTTTCGAATATTTAAATTTATGTATATATTTTTTTAAATTAATAATTTGAAAATAAAAAATTAAAAACCGGGTATCGGGTACCCGCAAAATTCGGGTACCCATAACATCCGGGTCGGGACACGGGCCGAGAAATCGTCGACCCGGAAGTTCCGGGTACCCGAAAATCCGAGTACCCGGATTTGCACACCCCTAGTTTTCGATAAGCCAATGATAGAGTTACTATGGTAAGAAGTGACTACTAATTGTGCGATTTGTGGTTCATGCGAGCGCGCGCACACACACATAT